GTTGTTTGTTTGTATTGATAACTGGTCATGTGCTTCAAATCTGTTTTTCAGGGTCTAGTGCCGTTTTCCAATTTTTCCAAGAATTTTCCAAAAAAACTATAAAACTAGCAAAAGCTTTTGTTTAAGAAGACTTTACTTATACTATTGTTGAAGTAAAGTTATTGTATTTTGTGTGCTGAGTCTTTTTTCTTAGAGCCCAAACTGGAGTTTCTAGAGCTGTTTTTTTGTTTTTCCAATATGTTTGTTTGGCTTTGTTTAGAAATTGAGGATCAGCAGAGAGAGTTGAATAATTATGTGTTATATTTGTATTGTTATAAAACAAATTATTATTTTATTATTATTAATACAAAATTTTATTAATTGAAACATTATCTATTTCTAGTAATCTACCTTTGCAATTGCAAGCCCAGCATCATCCAAGTACAGAGACTGCACTTAAATGCAACTTGTCACACCAACCTATTCCTAAATTGGGAAACTTTGTCAGCTCTGTCAAGAACTGAACCAGAATGGACTATTTCTATTCTGAATTATTTCATCTACCTCTTTTATAAATAACTGCCTCCATTCTATCTCTCTTTCTTTGTATTTCTCTCCTCTGATCTTATTTACTAATATTTCTTTACTTTTCACTTTCTTTAAACTGTATTTACTATTTTCAACTGTCTTGTCTCTTTTTTATTTTAATTTCATTATTATTCTATTTTCTTTCTCCTACTCAATTACTATTCTACATCTTTGTCATCAAATTTCTTCTCTAAACATCTCTTTTACAATCTTAACATATAATCTGATATTCTGCTTTACCATTTTACATGAAATCTGTTTAGCATACAACTCCTTAAACATACTCTCAACTGCTAACTCATGTATGCATGTTTTTCTATATTTAATTTTATCTACTTCTGTTTCACCAACTAATATTCTTTTCAAGTCATGTCTTGTAAGCTTGCACTTGTTTAACTTGTTAAACTTTTTCTATACTAACCAACATGCTAACTCTTTGATATTATTCTAATAGCCCTCATATTCCTCACAAATGAACAAATGTCTTAATAATTCTTTCTTTGTTTTACACTCTTTTATAAGTCTGAACTATACAAATCTGATGCTCTCTTTTTTAACACCTTAAGCACTAGCAAACTATCAGTGATGCACTTAATTCTAAATAAGATTTTCTTACTCTTCTCTAATAATTTACACTTGTTTTCTGTTAAATTTCTATTTTCTTTCCACAACCATCTCCAATCACATTGTGCTTCTGCATCTAGTTCTAGCTCTTTTGACACATTTGAGCAATGTCATTCAGCACTATTCATCATATTCATTAATGTCTTGACAAATTTTCTTGTCAGTATCTCTATTACTGTATCTCTTTAAAATAATGCATATAGAAATCTCAAGTTTTTCTTAAGCTTCAAATCTGTAATTTCAATTTGTTATGCACCTTCTTTCGCAAGCTTATCTGCTCTTTCATTTCATAATATTCCATTATGTGCTTTGACTTTAACTAATGATAACTTAATGTTCTTCAACTTGCACATGTTTTTAATCTTTGTAACTAATCTAAAGTTCTTTCTTTTACTTCATACTCTAATATTATGTAGTGGTTCCTCACTTTCCAGGCTTGTAATTGCTGCTGCACTATCTAATTTAATAACTACCTTACTATTATATGCTATAACTAATACCACTATCCACACTGCTACTAATTCTGTCTTTGTTGATAATGGCCATTTTGCTATTCTAATTTTCCTTTTCATTAATAGTCTACTCTTATCCTTGCTAATCTAAATCCAACTTGAACCTATTTTGCACTCATTTTCCTCTTTTACTAGTGATTTGTCTGTGTAAAAACTGTAATTTGTACACTCTACTTTTATGTTTTTCTCCAATTGCTTTAATAACAATGTTTCTAGGTTATTATCAAAACCTTGCATCTTTAACAGACTAGTCTTATGTGCATGTATTTTTATCTTCTTATCTATGACTTTTCTCTATTATTACTTTTATTCTCTATATGACTCTCTTTATATTTACATAATTCTTCTAACAGAACTGAAATTTTCTGGTTGTTTTTTTGTCTATTCCTAGCAGCATGCCTGTTATTTCTTTTTTCTTAACCTAATGCTAGCAGTTACTTGCATCTTTTTCATTATTCAAGTTGCACTTTTTACATTCAACTAGTACTGAATAATTTCGATTTTCAGTTCTAAATGTGCTCCAGTGACTTACAAGTATATCTTCCTTTCTTTTTTTAATTACTTTGCCTATTATCGAGTTCATATTCTCCTTATTAACTAATACCTATTTGTGTTTTCTCTTATCATGTGTTAACTTTTTGCATGTAGATTGCATTGCCATAATGTTTATACTTTGTGTTTGAAATTCTGTTAGGACTGTTTTGTTATCTTGATTACTTAACATTTTCTGCTCAATTTCTGAGAACCACTTTGCTTTTCACCCCTTTTGTGTACTTGTTCATAATGCTCTAAACTTCTTCCATATAATTATTCTTTTGTCATTTTGATCAATTAACTATTATGTAAAAAATATTCTATACTTTATTAACCTTCTATATGCTATTCTGAATGTTTCTTTTTCTAACTTACTATGTACAGTTTTACTCATACCATAAACCTGCCAAAGATCACCTTCTCCTTTTACTGTATACCTATTTCTTTTGCCTTAAGTATAACTAGACATGCTAAATTATTCTTCCAAATATGCCATAGGTTGCTTAACAACTCTGTATCTAAGTCTTCTGATACTAATCCTGCCAGAGCAAAGCCTTGTTTTACTTATATTCTCATTATTTTATCAACTTGATTTAGCTCATTTAATTTTCTTTGCAATGATACCAACTGATTATTAAATATTTCTTAACTTAATATCCTATATCTTCCTAGATCTTGATGCATAATTGCACTGTTTTCTGTAGTCAATGCCAATTCTACTTTGTTCTTGATTAACCTAATTACTGGTTGATGTAAGCACATTAGCTTTTCTTTAGATGCTTTTGTAGTTTGCAACATATATGTCAATTTTAGTATTATACATATATTATTAATATATATTAACTAACTGATAGTTAACTTTTTAAATCGTATACTATGCATAAACTACTGTATAATTTTTTTTGCCTTCTTAATAACTGAATTTTCATTTGCTTCAATACTTAACCATATCTCTAACATTCTCATCAATGTATACTTCTCTTCAACTTGTAGTTAAAAATTGTTTATCAGAACAGAATTCTTATTTTCTTCTATATTTGAGTTAACTACCAATAGCTTTGACTTGGAACTATTGATTTGAATGTTATTGAATCTAAAGAACCTTTGCAAAATTTGAACAATCTCTTGCATCTTCTCTTTACTCTTTGCTACCCAAGTTGTATCATTAGCATATGCAATTATAGTTTGTCTTGCTTTTTTTACTTTAACTCTGTTCATTTACAAGTTTAGTACTTCAAACGTCTCAATTTTATACCCTACCCACTGATCATCTTGAATTCTTCTTAATAATGGATCATAAAATATTCTTTAGACTAATAGTAAAATTGTCTCTTCTTGCTCAATCTCATCTTTAGTGATAAATTTCTTTGTCAACCCAAACTCTGTTATAATGCTAACTTCTCTTCTGCTATATAATTCTGTAATAAACCTTACAATTTCTACTGGCAGCTTAATTCTCTGTAATGCTAGCTAGAGTAACTTTATTGATACTGAATCATATGCCTTCTTCATGTCTTGCATCAACAATCACAACTCTTTATTGTTTTCTTTCACATCTTCTTTTAACATTTTCACAATATGAATTGCTTCTTCTGTTGAGTTTCTAGGTAGGCCAGCAAAGTTTGGACCCTTGAGTATCTCTTTTTCTTTCATTATACAAGACATTCTTTTTGCTACCATCTTAGTTAAGCATTTTTAGAAAGTTTTTAATAGTATAATCAGTCTAATATTACAAAGCTTGTAACTCCATTCTTCACTCTTTGGAATTGTATATATTTGTACTAACTTCTATTTGTATGATATCTTTCCTAGTTTCAGACATGTATCTGTGACTTTTCTAAAGACTTCTTGTGTTTTAATACTTGCATTCTTGATTAGTTTGTATCTAATATTTGACATGCTTGATGCTGTTTTATTTTTTGTTTCTCCTATTGCTTCTATCTATTTTTTAATTGCTATCTCTACCTTTAACTCCTTGTACTACTCTTCTCTAAATTTTGCAAGTGGCTTATAAAACTCTTTAATTATTTCTTCATCTTCAATAATATTTCTTTTTTTGAACTGTTCACTAAAATGTTCTTTTGTTTGCTCTAATACTGCACTTGGTTCACTAATTAATACACATCTATCTTCTTTCTGTTTTAACACTCAGTCGATTCTGATTTTGTTGTATGGTTTGTCTCAAATACTGGAAAGCATTCTTTCTACTTCTTCATCAATTCTCTTATGTCTTCTATCTATTGCAGTATTAATTTTATTTCTTGTACATCTGTCTTCTTCTGTCTTCTCTGCTATTCTTAAGCCTGCTACTGCTTTTTCGTTAACTAATACCACTCTTCAAGATCTGTTATTTTGCCTTTTTCTATATAATCTATTTCTAAGCCATATTCTCTATTTATCTTATCTACCTCTTCATTAACTTTCTCTAAGTTTAGTTTAGTTCTTTCTTTCTTTACCAACTTCTTAGTCTTCTGCAGTAATTTACTTACCGTATTCTACCATAAATAAGCACCCACTGTAAATAAGTACCCCTTATAAATAAAATTGTCGATCATAAATAAGCACCCCCGTGACTTAAAATTTAAAATATAAGTTAAACTTATAATAGGATAATTTATATCAATTGCATAATTAATTGTTATTTTATTTTTTTACTAGTGTTATAAGCATATTACTAAAAATAACAAAAACAAATATGTATTGCAAACAATAATAGCAAATTTAAATAATAGCAAATTCACAAATATTTTAAATCAAAGATACTGTTTTAATACTTTCGTTCTCATTTTCATTATTGAGTACAACAAAATGTTCATCATTATTTTCTTCATTTATGCCAATTAATCCATTTTCCGAACCATCCAAAGCATTAGATATTCCACATTTTTTGAAAGACTTGGATATAATTTCTGGTGAAATATTATTCCACGCTTCCATAATTCAATAACACATTAAATCAGGTTCCGGTTTTTTCATATTTCCTTTTTTAGTAAATCTATGTTCTCCTGTGGCCATCCAAAATTTCCATTGCTCATGAAGTCTATCTTTAAATAGTTTATTAATGCTTACATCTAAAGGTTGTACAACAGATGTAAGTCCTCCAGGAATAATACTTAAAACCGTATTAGATTTTATAAGTTTATCTTTTATAGGATCAGTCGTATATCCTTTAAATGCATCTAATACTAACAAGGATCTTTTTTGACTTTCAGCTCTTCGTAGCCAAACAGATTCTATCCAGTCTTTCATTAATTCTTCATCCATCCACCCTTTACTCTGCATTCTAATGATTAATCCTGGTGGATACTGACCTTTAGGCTTTCGTTTTTTTTTGAATATGACCATAGGTGGAAGCTTGCTTTTATCTGCTAAACTCCTAAAACACAAGTGAATCGATTTTTATCATTTTCTGTAGTACGTAAATATACTGAATGAGTACCACGATAATCAAGTGTAAGAGCACCGACCATATCAAAAAAGATGGGTATTTCATCTACATTAGCTATGCAATTTAGATCAAAATTATTGTTTCTTCGCAATTTATAAATGTCTTCATGAAACATTAAAAGTTTTTCTTGCAGATTCTTAGGAAGCTTTTAAGAAACTTTTGTACGTTTGCGAAGAGAAAAGTCTGAACGATTTATAAAACGATAAAACCATGTATCTGCAGCTTGAAATTTGTAAATAGCATTAGAATATATTTGTCTAAACTCTGTATTAAGTAGACGTTTCATATTACTCTTAACATCAGAAGGTGTAACACCTATTCCTCTTTCACGCAAACCAATTATTCACTTTTTTAATGATTCTTTAGCAAGTGGATACAATAGTAAGACACCTGATCCTATTCTACAATTTGTTTGTTTTGCTTTTTTCAATTTCTCTTCTTTTTTTCGCCATCTACTAATTTGTGTATGATTAACACTGAACATTCGTGCTGCAGCATGATTACTCGTTTGTTTTGCATAATTAATAGCATCAAGTTTTATAAAAGCAGGATAACTTTTACGTTTCTCTTTTGGCATTTTATTAGATGTATACGTATATGTTTTTTTGTAAAGATTAACAAGTATCGTCCAATGCTTATTAAAAATACATTAAAAAAAAAGTTTAAATATTTGGTTTCTATTGCCGTCATAATTACAAAACAATTGTTAATTAAAATTAATTTATTTGACTCTGAGTTTATTCGTATATACACTGTTGTTATTACAGTTATATTAATAATCAAATTAATTTATTTAACTCGAATGCATATTGGTATCATTAGTTTTTGGCGCAGAATGATTACTGTAATTTGATTGGTAGATTACTATGTGAAATAAAAATTTTAGATAGCGGCGATCCTACTATGAATAAGCACCTGCAACTATGATCAATGTGGGTGCTTATTTACGGTAGAATACGGTAGTGCTACTATTCCTTTGTGCAATATTGTTGTTCTTTTTTTTCTTCTAATATTGCTATTTCTTTGGACTATCTTTTTTTTCAGTATATTTCTGTTCGCTGCATCTTTTATTGCACAGGATATTATGTCTCACACTTTGTCTATATTAGTGCTATATTCAACTTCTTTAAATACTTTAAGTCTACTGTTCTTAGTTAAATAATTTTTAAGATCTACTTGGTAGTCTTCTTAATTTTCTTTCATCACATTCTCATACAAATAAATTGTTCTTGTTATGTCTTTTTTCTTTATTTCTGCTACACTATGTGTTTAAATTAAGTGTTTAAATATCAACATTGCACAAACAATGTTATGATCACTTGATGTTATATATTCTGCATCAACTATTTCTGCCTGTTCTAAACCTGGTTGTAGATCTTCTGTAATTCATATTTGGTCAATTTTTGTCTGTACATCATGTTCTGCCCAAGTATAACCTCTTAATTCTGAGTTGCAAATTCTATACGTATTACCAAATCCCTGTCTCATTATCCATTTATATAGTGGAAGTGTTCTACTACAATTATTTTCACTACTATTTAACTTATCTAACTTGCTATCTACTATATAGTTAAAGTTACTTATTACTATGAACTGCGAATTACTTGCTTACTCTATATACATATTTACAATTTTTTGTTGCAACTTTCTTGTTTTTTCTTTGTCACTTGGGAGGATATATACTACTACTATTGTCAATTCTATCTGTTTAAAGTAGAACTTTGCTCCAATCAAGTATTTCTCAAATCTACAAATTTCTCCTATAAGTTTCTCTCATTTTTGGCTTATCAATAATTCAACACTTGATCCTTTCTTCTTTATAATTTTACTTTGTGACCAAATGCCTTTATAATAATTGTTTTCTAAACTATATTTCAGCTCTTTACTATTGCTATTTGTTTCTACTAATTCCAAAATATTCACTTCTTCTTTCTTTGTCCACTCAACTATTGTTCTTAGTTTGATCTTATTACATTTTATTTCATTTATGTTGTGACATGCTATCTTAGTACTTGTTATTCTCTTTTCACTCTTATCATATTTGCTTATACTATGTGCCAATTTTCCACTACTGCTCTCTAACTCTATATTTGACAGAGTGGACACTTCTTTTTAAAAGATGCCTATGGTAACTTTCAGAAGTAATCTGGGAGCAAGCTTTCTAATTGTCTTTCTTCGATGTTGTCAAGTCTTCTTAATATTTTACTAAGAACCTTTTGTAGTTCACTTTTTTGCTTCTTTATATTAACTGCATTTGTCTGCATACTATCATTGTGTTTCCTGTAGACTTCTTTATCTTTTCTTTGCTAATTCTTTTTGTTACTCTTTTCTTTCTTCATATTTTCTTAACTTTTTGATTGTCTTCTATACTGTATGCTTCTATTCACAAACTGTTTTTTTACATATTTGTTTTCTTCTCTTTTTGTTTTTATATTTTTGAATGCTCTTCTGTTACACCAATTTAGTCTTGTGTTATAATAGTATGGCTCCTTATTGGTGGCCATTAGTAAGTCTTCTTCTGTTTCAAAGTAAACTGATGCAGTTTTCTATTAATTCTTGTTTCTATTTACTAAAATATAAATTGCTTTCATCTTTACTACCTTTAGTTGTCTTAATAATAATACCTTTATTGCTGTTGTTAAAACATTTTTAATTATTGCCTTACGTGTTGCTCTACTTTCTAATATTTCTCTTGCAAAAGTACCTGGAGTAACTCTACAAATTTTGTCTTCTTCAAAATGCACTGACCATGTCTAGTTAAGCATCGATTTTCTATTCTCATTTCTAAACTCAACAGTGAACATTGCTGCTTTGCTATTACTATAACTTTTCTACTGAATAAACCTAATTATACCATAAAACTGAAGACACTTTCTAACATGTGCTAGTCTTACATCTACTAGAATGTCCCACATTGTATAGATATTGTCCTTTAACTTGCTATCTACATGTATTCTTATTGGCTTCTCTGTATAACTTTGTTCTTTATTTGTTCATTTTGTATTTGTTCACTATTTGTGGTTACTTTAGCTTTTTTTTCTTCTTTGTGTTCTACTTCTACTTCATCTGTCTTATGTTTCTTGCTTGTCTCTATATCATTAACTATGTTCTTCTACTGCTCATTTTCTTCTATTTTAACTTTTTTTCTTCTTTATTTTTCATTACTAAGCTCTTTCTTGCTTGCTTTTCTAGTATACCATAATCTATGTATCCACATTTTTGCTCTAGCAATATCTCTTTCCTTTCTTTGTCTTTGCTTAATTGCTCTATATTATTCTTTTTTGGTTTTTCGCTGTCTCTTACTCATACATACTCACAATAATTATATACTTCAATTAGATTTCTAAATACACAAACTAAGACTGCTTCAGTGCTGACTAGTTTGGCCAATTCTTCATTTTTTCTTAATACTCTTAATTTATAACTATCTAATAATTCTTTCTGTATTCTGTCAGATTTGTTAAACATATCACAATACTTTTCTAATTTCTTATACCAGTCGATCCTTGTAGATACTGATTGAACTTTTTGTGTTACACTTCTTTGCATTATTTCTATATATTATCTGTATAAATTTAACATGTGTCTTACTATATATATCTATATTTATTTGTTTATCTATGAGATTGTGCATTTGTTTATTTGTTTTGTTGTGTTTACTGTTTACTCTGTCTTGCTTTACATGTCACATGTGTGATCTACAATACAGAGTTTCTGTGTATTTCCTTTTTTCAACAAAAAATTATCATTAAAAAGCAAATATTTTCTCTAAAGATCAAGATTAGCTACTATTTTGTTGTCAGCTTGGTTTACTATTCTAATAAACTCTATTTAATTTCTTCTTAGCTTTAACTTTGCTTAGTTGACAACAGTGCTTTTACCTGTTGGCTTTTGTGTTTTTTATAATTTTCTTTCTGTTCCAATTTTGGTTATGAAGATCAGTGAAAAGAGTTTCTCCAATAATATACTTTTAAAGTTATATTAAATGACTATATCAAATATAAACTGAAACTACTTACAGATATAACCAAAATCAAAACTAAACCAAAATTTGAATATCCAATTACTGATAACCAAAAAGCCAAAGAATTTATTTTACAAATTATTCCAATATATAGATTTAGTATTTTATTAGATTCACAAATAATAACAACTAACTTGATAGAAAAATCTAAACTACTAAAAGATCCAAAAGAAATTATAAAATACAACATTATACTACCAATCAGAACAGCTAAACAATTAGTTAACACAGTCTGACTTCTAAGAGAGATGTATTAATATTACAAATGAAAAAAATATAGTAGAAATACAAAAAACATCTAATAATCAAACAAAGCCAGACTTAAAGCCAAACTTGTTACAATTATGTGAAGAAATTTTTCAAATACTTACAGGAAAACAAATTAAAACTATAAAAATTATATTATCTATTATACAAGTTCAAGTTAGACCAACTCTTGACAAACTTAGAAAACACTTCACAGTTAACAATATATCTGACTACTTATTCCAATTATCACTATTTTCAGAACCAATATAGGATATTTTTAATGAGACACCAGTTTATATGCAGTCTAATAGGAATAAAAATATTAATAACAATATCAAAAATAATAACAACACACAAGACAATCTACTATTACAAATAACAAATAATAATAATATTATTCAAGCTGTAAAAAATAAAGAAAACTTAATTTTACTTAAACTTAATTTAAATAAAAAAATCAACATAGCAACTCATAATATAAGAGGTATTAACAATATATTAAAAATGTAAACATAGATTGAACATTGTGCTAAACTAAACCTATATATATTTTCTCTTATAGAAACTAAACTAAAAGATACAATAACAAGATCACTAACCAATCCTTTATATAAGATTTACACCTCAAATTTTATATTATATAAAGCAAATCAACAAGAAACTAGTCTAAGAACTGCTTTATAGTCTGTAACCAATTACAATCATACATTTACAAAATTAATACACTTTCTGAAATAGCAATCTGCATTGACTTTTTCTTTTCCAATAATAACAAATTCTATATTATTTCAACATATCTTTCTTTAAACCACATATTTCTCTTTAAATATACTAATTTGAATTATAGAAGCTAGAGTAACATAGAAACAAACATATGCCAATTTTTACCAATCTAAATGCAGCCAATTTAACTAGTCTTTTGACTTTTTATAATATTTAAACACCTACTTGGCATTACCTAACCACTTTTAGTCAATTAGATAACTTCTGAATTTTTTCAGACATACTGCTAGCTTTTAAACTCTTATTATTAATTAATATTTCATATATTTTAGATAGTAACTATTGCATATTATATACAACATGGCATACTAATTTTTCTTTACAAAAAAATCTTAAAAATAAAAAAAAGAAGAGGAAAATATACCAATTTAGAAAAATGACATCAAAGGATTGGACCAGTTTTAAAGACTTTTTAAATATCTTTTTTAATATACAGAATACCATCTCACCAAATATGAATAAAAAGCAGATAAACAAAACCTAAAATTTTTGATCAGCAAAAATTAAAAAAAAACAATAAA